ATACTAATAGAAAAACTATTTTTTGGGATATACTTGATATCATAGGACTTATTTACTTGACATTAAACATCTTAACTAATGCAAGTTTATCATTATATTGGTTCGAATATTTTTATTATAAATCCCTGAAATAAACGAATTTATTGTTAAATCAGGTCACTAATGACTTCTAAAACGGATGGGTTAGAGATTTCAGACTTAGATGTCGTATGTACATATTGTGCTTAAATTAACATATATGAGTAATGAGTGGTTAGACAAAGAGTTGAAACCTCTTCTACATCATTCATGATTCGAGTATTTTTATTTAAAATGCTAATAGGAGGATTGCATAAAATATATTTGAGGATTTACTTGACATTACACAACTTATTCATTTGATATGATACGATTTATCTATATAAATTTATTATCCTATTGTTCCAAGTATATTTGAAGTACTAATAGGAGAAACTATTTTTGGGATTTACTTTACTATACACAATTTGTTTACTTTACACAATTTAATTAATATAAGTTTATCATCATATTAGTTTGAATATTTTATTTGAAGTGCTAGTATGAAGAAGTATTATTATACGACTTAATTAATATAAGTTTATTATTCTATTGGTCCAAGTATATTAATATAAGTTTATAAATCGTGAAAAATAATTTTTTTTCTACTAACACACTTCAAACCAAAATACTCAAACCAATAAAATGATAAACTTGCATTAGTTAAGAATTAAGATGTTTAATGTCAAATAAATAAGTCATATAATATCAAGTATATTCTGAAAATAGTTTTTTCTATTAGTATTTCAAATCAAAGTACTTAAAACAATAGGATAATATGTTTGTATATGTATAATAACCAATATTATTTTTGTTTTTTTTTAAAAAAAAAATTGTGCTGTCATATTGCTACTATTTTATATAAAAATATATGTTTTTTATTATACAAATATGTATTATGGATATAATTAAACTAATCATGTGTCAAATATTTTGAATAACCTAAAAATTAAATTGACTGTGCTCAGCCTCTTGAACTTAATAAATTCTGCATATTCCCTCATAGACTACACTTCCGCACATTCCCATCCAAACAATTTGTTTTATGCATATCCCCCCGCCCCGAACGCAATCTAACCAAAACGCGATTTTAATTTCTAATTGAATTTGGGGGAATATGCAGAAAATAAATTGTTTGAGTGGGAATATACAGAGGTCTTTAGTTTGGAGGGATTAAGTAGACAACATATAGTTTGAGGGGCTGACGGCAGCCCACCTTATACAGTATGCTGAGTGTAATTAAGCATCAAATGTTTGTTTCTGTTTCACACTTCCTAAGTGTCAATCGAACAGTAGAACAAAATAATATGTATCTTAGGTTCCTCTTTTAGAAGATAAGTTTCGAGATATATCTATTTCAGAATTGTGTTAAAGTGGATGGTATTGTCTTTAACATAATACCTTTACTTCTATTGTCATCGTTATCAGGTATGACTGTGTGAAAACGGAAGAAAAAGTTACAGGAAACGGAGCGTGTAAAATACACGTCCCTCTTTTTCTCTCCCAAAGGCTATTTTTTCTGCAACACAAAAACTTTGATCTGCAATTGCCTCACCGGCGTCCGGCTTCGTCCGGCGTTGTGTGAGGGCCCCCTTCTCTTTTCTTTTGCTTTTCTCTCTCTCGGTGTTGGATTTATTCCGGTGTTGAAGTTTAGATCTCATTCCGATTCGGTGGTCTACGGTGGTCTTTGTCGTGGTGGTGGCTAGGCAGCTGTGTTGAGATGCGACGGTTGATTCCCCGGTCGATCTATCCTGCTCGTGGACGGCAGATTCGTTGGTTCATTGGGCCGATGTCTCTTCGCGGAGGCATTCTCTCCACATCTGTCTACCTCCGTTGTCGATAGGACCTTCTTGCCATGACTTTTGAAGAGCTTCGGTGGGCTGAGGCGGTTTTGCTGTTGTGTAGAGGTTTCGTTTCTCTTCTAATCGGTTTGGATCTAAATTTTTCTCTTTGCTGGTGGTGGCTCCGGTTAGGTCGGCTGAGCTCTCGTAGTGGCTGCGGTCATTCTCCGACAGCAATGGTGGCGCGTTTGTTGTTCTGCAGTTCTTTTGGACTGCGATGGAGGCTTCGTGTTGTGTCTTTCTCTGTTTCCCTGTGGTGGTTCTCGTGGGTTTGAGGACGGCTCTGATGCTGCCAAGACGCAGGGGGATATCACTTCTCGATTCTCCTTGGAGTTGTGGCAGTTGGCTCCAGCGCTGTGTATCTCCATCGACGGTTTGCTGGTAAGGTGGGGCTAGGGCGTTGGTTAAAAGAGGTGTGGGCTTCCCTGGCGACGGCTGGTGGTTTTGCTCGGCGATGATGGATGTTCAGAGCTCCTCATTTTGTCGTTTTCACTCCCTCTCTTATCTGGTCTGTTCCTGGGTCATGGTGTGGCTCCTTCCACTTTCCCGATGTGTGTTTTGTTTCAGGTTTTGGGTTCGGCAGGGTTTGAAGGGCTTCCTTTTCGGTGGGTGATGGCCTTTTCCTTAGCTTCAGTGGTGTCTTGTTTTCGAATCGAGGCAGCGGGTTTTGCTTGGCTACTAATTTCTATATGTGGTAGGTGATTCTTGCAGCTTTCTTAAGCTAGGGAATGGTGGCTAGAGGCGGCTTCTCTAGTAGGCCTGAAGACTCTCATGCCACCGGATAGTGATTAGTTGGGTCGAAGCGTCTCGTTTTTGTGTTTGTCCTTGGAGAAGCTGTAGGTGCTGTTTTCGGCGAGGTTTTGAGGGCTTACCTCCTGTATGGTTGCTCGTGGCAACAACGATGAGGACTCACAAATTTCTGATGTAAGTTTTCGGAATCGGTGTTTTTTTTACTTGGCCCATCTCTGGATTATGTCACTCTATTTGTAGAATGTTTGTTAATTTGCCGGTTGGGTTTTTTCCGTGGCATTACGCTTTCTATGCCACTTATGTGATACAAGCCTCAAATTGCTTCAAGGAATGTGCCTTAGAATCTGTTGCTTTAAGCTGGATATGATGGAGGAAAGACTGAATGGTTTTGTAGTCTAGTTGATGCTTGATGACCCCAAACACCAAGGATTAGATTCTTCTCAGCTCAAAGGCTAATCCTCACAAGAGCTTAGGAGATTCTACACGATAATTCTTCAAGGTTGAATCCTCAAAACACTTAAAGAAAAACGCAGGAAAAATTGTAAACAAAGAGATACTTTTCTTTGAAAAAATAACTTTCTTTTTGATTATAACTTGGGTAAAATGAAAAGTACAATGCTTTGAGCTTTATATAGGCTCGAAAATAATGAAACACAACGGTAATAAACATTAAAAATGGGGCAAGGATCAAGCTGAATGATGACTGATCTCTTTACTAGCTGTTAGGCTTCAATGGACATATCCTTGACTTTGGCGATGAATGGGGAGGTTGTGATGACTCTTTGGCACGAAATGAATGTGAGGGGTCTTCTAATGATGATGAATGGTCTAGATTGAGTGATGAGGGTGGTTGTTGGTCTTCAGACTTGATTAGATATAAGTTGTGATCTTCAAATGGGAAAGCTTCTCCTTAATGTAGTTTTCTTTGACTTCATGGAATGGGGCGATTAATGAACTGTTCTGATGTGGTATGACTCTTGTTAGCTGCTATGGACGTGAGGAGGGTCGAATATAATGTCTTCATACAAGTTATATCCGCTGTTTCCTTAAATGGCTCGCTGAATGTTTCTCTTGGCTTAATCGTTGGTTTTGATAGATTTGGAGGATCTCCTTGGTTAAATGGCGGCTTGCACTGAACCAGGGACGGTTTGTGGCTCTCCTTAGTTCCAAAGAATGATTTAGGTCGGTCGAATATTATGTTGGTGTAACATATATTCCGACTTTCCTTATCTAGCTCATCCGGTGGTTCAAGGGCTGTATTTCCGATTTTAGATCGAACCGGCCCAATTTTAGCTCGATCAATTTGCTCCTTGGAATGTCTAGAACGACGACGTATGGTGGTTTGATCCTGAACAGCTCCAAGCACAGCTACAAACTCTCTTTTCCCCACGGGTTCAAACTGTTCTGCATCATCATTAGCTTCAAAGCTCCACTTTTTGGTTGTGTTAAGTGAATTGCAATCCAGTCTTACATCATTATGTCTATAGACTATAGGATACGAGTTTGATCATGGAGTTAATAATTTAAAATGTTTTTGTTTTAGAGTTGGTTACAGAGTCATATCGTGTTACAATTCGTTAATTATGAACATATCGAACTCATAGAGAGCTGCTACGTTCAATGTTTAAACACGACAACAATCTCTCTCCTTGGTCAAGTATGAGTTGGTCAATGTTTCTGTTCAATGAGTTTTTCTTAAATAGTTTATGTCTCTTTCAGTTTTTAGTCGAAATTTTCATAAGACACTTGATGGAGAGGATTCGAATGTTTTTCTTAATTAATTCATTGGATTTTATTCAACTTGTAATTTCACGTCTGCATAGTTCACAATTCTTTCTTGGATAGTTTTATGATTCCTCTATCTTTTGCCATGGTTAAATTACTATTAGCGTTAATGATGGCAAATTAATTAAAGGGTATTATACACTTCTTAATCGGCTGAAAGAGAGTATTTGATCTACTACTATGTATAAAATCTTCCAAAATTTGCTAAAATATACGTATAACAGATCAGATGTAATGTATAATTTTTTTTTAATCAACGTTTTTTTTGACAACTTTATTTTTTAAAAAGGTATACAGTAAATTAACACCAAATTCAACAATTTAACATGTACTATAAAAGTTATGTTGTTAAATGTTATAATGTTGTAATGTATATTTATTTGTGTATCAACATTAATATGTATAATATTTTGTTTATAGAGTTATACAGATATTATTGTTACAAAAAATATGTTACACAGTTACTAACACCAAATTCAACAATTTCAAATTTTAATATGAAAGTTACCATAATATGTTGTTAATTGTTACGTATAATGTTTTGTAACGTACTCGAACTCGAGTCGCCGGCATATCCCACTTTTATCACAGCTCTGCTTTTTTTTTTTTTTTCCCATTAGAAATTAGGGCTTCGGAAGAAGAAGAAGAGCAAACGTCTCTCCGTTTCGATTCTTCGCTCATCTTGGTAATTTCTGTTTCTCTCCTTGTCCTCGTTCCCTCTTGTTTCACTCCGCACATCCAAATCTAATCCTAATTTGGGTTTATCCTCTTTCGTTATCTCAGATTTACTTCTTCGTTTTTTCAGCGGGAGGAGATGGCTTCATTGTTCAAGGTACCAAAAAGTTTAGATTTTGATTTGTTTTGGTATATTTCGGTGAACGCATTTCTGGGTTTCGAGTTTGGGTACTGCTGCTAGTTTTTTGCTTTTAGTGAATTGAGTGTTCGAGTCACCGAGAATCTGATGGGTTTAAACGATTCTTAACATACCGAAGAGTGATGAAAACCCCAAAATCGACTAATTGATTTGGAAAAAAATTGGTGTTGGTCTCACGGTATGCTTTTCTCCTTTTGCGTAGATGGCGATTTGAGTTTTATATCAATTTCATATTTTGAACTCAGGAGCAAGCAAAGCTCTCGGCTTATCGAGATAGAAGATTCTCAGGAACACAAGAGGAGTTCGACGAGGCTCTAAGGACGTCTTCTACTGTTTACATTGGGAATGTCTCTTTCTACACAACTGAAGAACAGATTTACGAGCTTTTCACCAGAGCAGGGGAGATCAAAAAGATCATCATGGGATTGGATAAGAACACTAAAACGCCCTGTGGTTTCTGTTTCGTCCTGTGAGTTCTCGTTTGTTTATAACAATTTCACCTGCAAGTTTCATGATGATGGTGGTTGTTGATTTTAGCTTGTGTGTGTGTGTGTGTGTGTTGTTATGAAATCAGGTTCTACTCGAGAGAGGACACAGAGGATGCAGTGAAATATATAAGCGGGACGATTCTTGATGACAGGCCTATTCGTGTGGATTTTGACTGGGGATTTCAAGAAGGAAGACAATGGGGACGTGGTAGAAGCGGTGGCCAGGTATATTTATTCATCAAGATGCATTCCTCTCTGTAATTTTTCTTGAACCTTTGACTTGTAATTATGATTTTTTCGAATTTTCTTACAGGTTCGAGATGAGTACCGTACTGATTACGATCCTGATATCCTTTTCAATCCGCTTTTGTTTGTGCTTAATAGTTCTTGTTTTTGCCTGCTTGCTATAGACCTAATCCAATTGTAATCTGGCTTTTAGGTTTGATTTCTTGGTTTACCTATCTGTGTTTTTTTCTTTAACTCGCTGTTACCTAGAGGTGGTTATGGAAAATTAGTCCAGAAGGAACTCGAAGCACAAAGGCAGCTCGTAGATTACGGTACTGGCTCTTTGGGAGCTTATCCTCAAGCTGCGCCATCGAATTGTATGTTCTTCCAACTTTCTATCGAACCTACTCGATCTTGTTCATGGTTGCGTGAGTTAACACGTAAACTTTGAATAATTGGTCAAGCATGTAGAGAGGTTTCATGAATGCGAGCCTAAAGCTGCTTAACTTGGCATTGTCTTGCTCAAATCTTCTTTCCCTTTGTGTTAGATAGTCAAAATGTTAAAAAGTCATGAATGTAACTGAAGTCCATCATGCGAGAACCTGTAAATAGAATCTGCATAAATTTAAGTTCTTTGGAGTAAAGTTATCTTCCTAAATGCATATATCATCAATCATGCAGATGGAAGTGGAAGACGTGGTGGTGGAGGAGGAAGCTATGGCCAAGGGGGATCAAATCGCCATGGAAGAGGAGGAGGAGGAGGTATATGTTTCTGAATTAGCATAATGCATAGTAATAATTCATCAGCCACACAATAGCATAACTCAAAAACCCATTTGATGCTTCTGCAGATTACCATCGGAAACGGCAAAGAGACGATGATCGGAATGGACGGGATAACTCAAGAAGAAACACAGATCATGAGACTAGGAAAGACACTGATCATGACATGAGACCGGTATTGACCATAACTGTTTTTCTCTTTTCCTAATAATCTTTTTGAGCAAACCTTTTTGAACATTTCGTCTCCTATGAAATGTAACAGGAGAAGAACCCACGATTCCGCGAGAGTGGTGACTCAGACGATGATGGAGAAGATGATCGGAAGAGAAGATCTTAAAAAAAAAAAAACAAATGTTTAGAAGTTGCAAAGGTTGTTGAAGGATCAATGTAATCTTTAGATTTATGTGTCCTGAACTCAAATTTGGGTTTTGCAGATTTTCATTACAACCTTTATAAGTTTGGTTTCACTCGATATGATGTCACCATGTACCTTTTGTCTCCTTGATCAACGGAAAATTATCATTGCTACACTTTTAGGCCGAAGAGCCCATGTTAATGTCCGAACCATATTTTGTCTTCGAAATATCGGGCTTCAAGTCCAAACCAAGTTTCTTTAATTTTTGATCGATAACGTTACAAAGTATTCAAGAACCTATATACATATCGTATTTCTCGTTAGTCGTTTGTTTTAATGAAAAGTGTACAATCGTTGATTGATTAAAATAACATTTTAAAATGTTAAGCATTTAGTCATTTTGCATTATGCATCATGCTTCTGGAGAAGCAGTTCATAAAATTTACAGATTCTTTTTTGTTTACTAATGGGTAAAATTACAGATTCTGCTGCTATCGAACATTGGTTAAATATATTGAGTAAATACTGATTTGAAGGTCGGCCAATATTACAATTTAATTAGACTAATATAGACTTGCTTTAGCTTCGATACATGCACTCATATAGATTACATATGATCAGGCAACAAGGATTTCATTATTTTCCTTGCAAAAATACTTAGAAAGATACCGAAAAAGAAAAGAAAATGAGTTTTAGCAATTTTGATTTCGACGAATTTTGTCTCTTTCAAGTTAGAGGAGGAACATTAGAAATGCCTTGACGTTGTAACTCCGTCACGACGCCGTCAACTGACGGTGGTTTCAGTCCTAAAGGAAGAGGCAGCCACGGCTTTGTTATAACGTCTCCAATAGCGGCATCGATGCTCTCATTAGACTGCACCGTCAACATCAAGTCAAAAGAAACATTTATTAATGAGATAAAACTTAAAGCAAATCAAAACAAACTTATTCAAAAACTTTTTGGATTATTTCATAATAACAAAAGAAAAATCAACCAAATAAAGGTGCACTCACGGGATGAATGTCCATGAGAGGATTAGTGGGGCCTAATTGTCTTGTGGGAACACCGATGCTTGTTTCTGATTTATTATTATACATCGAATGATTCGATGAAGCCATACCATATCCCTATATATACACATAAACCTTAATTCAACAACACAACAACATAATATACATGCAATCCATGCTGCATGCATAACTTATAGCTCTTAATCTCATTAGCAATTCACATCAAAATTATTTTAACTTGTATGTCAAATGAATAGTGAAATATCGAATGTTCGAATGTTAGATGATATATAGTTACTCATCTTTTATTTTTTATTTTATTTTTATTTATTTATATAAAATGTGTCAAAATGACACTTTTTATAAAATAAAAAGAATAAAAGATAAGCATAATCATATTTTAAAACTGAAAACAAAAAGTGGTGATGAATCATGCCAATAATTAACTGATAAAAACTTTTTCATTTAATAATTTTGTCGTCTCGTTTTAATTTTTGTTTTTTTCAATTATCATCACAATGTAACCGTCATATGAATTTACCTGTGGGTAGAGTGGAGGTTGGGGCCAATATGGCGGATGACCTGGCCAAGACGACGGAGCCGCCGCAACTGCCGGAATCGGAAACGTCCGATGAGTAGACGGTGGATTGTTAGGCTTGTGTTTAGGCCACGTAGGATGACCCCACACGTGCAAAGGCCTGAAGTGGCCATGATGCAATGGTGCCACGTGTGGTGGGTAGCCTAAGGCAGGAGCCATCCACGGTTTTTTCCCTCCTCCTCCTCCTGCAACTGCCACCGTGGCATGTCGCCGGAGATTCCAGCTGGCAGCTTCTGCTTCACGCGCTAGTAGATGCTTTCGATGTGACCTATATTTCTACCATTACAAGACAAACACACACACAATATTAATCTCATTAAAGGGATCTTAGTTCGTGTGTAATAATAATTAATAATAATATAGATTCTGATTGCTTAAGATTTTAGTCTATAGATTTTTAGACTGTTAAATACCTGAAGATGGCTAGCAACGTTGTGACGAGTGAGAGATTTAACGTTCATAATTTCCAAAATCCGAGATGGAACCGCCTTGTCTACCCCTAATTGCTCCACCGCTTGCACAAATTTCCGGTGTAACTCCGGCGTCCAATCCACCTGGTTTTCCAGTAGCAAAAGCCACAAATTAATTACTATAAAAATAAAATTTATTTATTTGATAACGACAAACCAGATGATTGATCCATGATGAACACAAACATTTATCTAAAAAATCATATAAATTCAAGATTGTGATTTTGCTGCTACAAAATTAAATAGTTTTGATTTTCAAGACAAAAGTTATTTATTTCATAACGACAGAGTAGATGATCGATCTGTGTCGTGCGCAAACAATATATTGTTTTTTTTACTTTAAACCATCTAAATTTAAGATTATAGTTTTGCTGCAACAAAATCAAACTGTTTAATGAATACAAATTTTATTATTAGTAAGAATCTAGATGTATTAAAAAAAATTCAATTATGTTTTATTGTGAACTAAATAGTTAAACAACAAATATTTCAAATAAATAGAAATGATTTAATATTGTTAATAAGGAAAATAAGTATATAGAAAGTAGAAACACACCTTGGGTTTTTTCTTAATTTCGTTATCATCGGATAAACAAGCTTTACTTTTCTTCCCCTTACGTTTGCCTCTACGCACCGTTTTGTCCGTAGTACCACCACCTTCCGGCTTAAACCCACCAGCTTCTCTCTCCGATGTCTCCGACGCCGTCGAAGTGTTTCCCTCCATTTCTTGCTCCTCGTCTCCTCCGCTGCCGGAATGTTCGCCGAGAATCTCCGAATCAAACTCCAAGTCCGGCAAAAGATCATCTCCATCGTCATCGAATCCAATGAAAAGGTCGTCGTAGTAATCGATTCCTTCGAGAAGATCGAGACTACCTTCGACCGTCGTGAAGTCCGGCAAGTCTTCCGTCGAAAAATCTGAGAAATCAGCCGCCATATAATTATCCTTTGAGGTGGTGGTGTTCACGGTGAGGGGAGACACAGTTAACATCGAATCCTGGAACTGAAAACTTCAAGATTCGAGAATTTAGAGAGAACAAGAGTGATACAGTGAAGTAGTAATATGTGAATATATTATATATAGTCGTGTGTGTCTGAATAGATATAGATAGTTCCAAGGTTTATTAAAATCTTTAATATGCCATATATATGTGTTGGTGGCACTGGCGTGAGAAAAGCTGTGGTTGAGAGATAGGAGAGAGAGATTTTTAGTCTTTTTTTCCTTTTGTAATTTTGAAATGTAATAGAAAAAGTCATTGATACATTTGATACATACTGTACATCATATTTAAATTATAATAGATTTGTTTCCTTTTAAAATTTCAGACAAGTATGTTAGGTCCATTTTTTCTATCAATATTTTCTTTCTTAAAACATTATGAAACTCTTAACATTTGGTATTTATATTCTTGAGATTTGTATTCAAATTTTCTATTTCCCTTTACATGTAATTTTAAAATCACTATTGGTCAAGCTTTAAGAATGACTACTAAAAATGCATAAAATTGTTAAACTACTATTAATAGAATTACTAATTACTATATAATGTAAATTTTGTACAACTGTTAGATTTTTTCCGTATATATATAAAGACAATCGGTTTTAAGCTTCAAAAACAAATTGGGCTTACGACTGAATACCGTAATGGTTCACATGAAAAAATTAGGCTTATTATTGAACAATAAATTAATGGCTAAACAAAAAATTGGGCTTTTAGTTAAAAATCGTTAAATTTGTTAAATTTTAATAATTATTTATCTAAAAAAAGTTAGGCTTATGATTGAAAACCGTTAATATTTTAAAATTTTAATAAACTATCGATCCAAAAAAATTGGACTTATAGATGAAAACCGTTAAATTTGTAAATATTTAATAAATTAATGATATAAATTATATAGTGAAAATATGTTTAAGGCTTTTAACTATTATTTAACTAACAAGTCTATTTTTACGCAATGACATTTTAAACTTATATAATTGGTTGTATATAATATACATTTTAATATGACGATACAAGAATTTTACCTAAAAATATATGATAAAAAGCTTTTTAATTATTTTTATAAATTTATTCTTATTTTGAAAAAATGCAGATTGAAACCAATAGCTCTTTTAGTTTTAAATAGTAACGATTTGATATGATAAATGTTTAATTTGAAATTTTATATCACGGTATTATTATTTAGATGGCAACAATATTGATAAATATGTCTTAAATTATTAAATATTTTACAATTAAAAATAATTTTGAATAGAAATATGTTCTAGTTACTAGGAATAAGACAATATTTTAGTAATACTTCATATAGTGATATACGCCAAAAACAAAACAGACTAATATTAGTCATAAAATTTTAAAACTCATTATTAGGGTATCTCGCCAAACATGTGTGTGTAAGTGCAATAAGTTGACTTCAATGGCTTTAAACAGTTCTCAAATAAATAATGATGCCAATAGGCGTTACGAGCGTTATTTTACATTTAATGATGGTAAATTGGTAATATGTGATGTTTAAAAAAAATGATGCTAATGTGTACTGTTATGCTTAATGCGTCAATGGTGTATTTTGTGGCATTAAATGTCATTAATTCTATTAACTTGGCTACATTCAACGTCTAAATTACTAATACTACTTAGTATTGCCAACAAAAACAATTACCAATACTTAGAAAAATATTTAACGATGTCTTTTTATAAAAGTTATTTATTAGACGTTTCATACTATAATAAGACAGTGATATGTATGGCTAAAGTTTATTTATTTCCACATTCGGTTACGTTGATACATAAAAAAATGATTAAAATAAAGAAAATGTCTGTTTTGCATAAGTAACCCACTTATACGAACGAAAATACAGTGAATTTGTGTGTATTTTAGTTTGCAGTTTACGAATCTGTTTGGAATATATTCAAAGGCATATAGTATAATAAAATTAGTGGTGGGTTCTCTCAACCACATATTTTTTTTATGTTATATTATAATACTATTTTACATTGTGTGTGTCTATATATTTGAAACGTATAATGAGTGCAACGGGGTTGGCTACATTTTTATTTTGGTATATTTTTCCTTTATATTATTTTATTAATTATTATTGCTATGTGGACTCCAATTATTTTGAGAAATTTTATTATGTGAAAAAGTCGGGTCATTCTCACTCTTCACCAAACGACATCTGTTTCGTTTTCATATGTGAAATGTGAAATATGCATTTATACAAAAAAAAAGAGGAAATATATATACAGCCATATGAAAAGAAAATATATCTCACAAACAATAATGGTGCAACTAAAAAGAGAGGTCGTATTATTGAAAAAATGAATTTTAAATTAAATCAAAAATGAATTGATATGCACAGATTTATACAAAACAAATCGACAAAAGGTGATGGAGACCAGACGTCGAAACAAGTGGGGGCGTAGAAATTGACCTTCTCGTGAGCCACATTTGGATAATGTTCCTTTAATCTCTTTTTCTTCCCATCTCATTCAATCTACATGTCTGATTAATTACTACCGAGATAGGGAATTCAATTCTATAGAAAAAGGTTGACTTGAATCAGAACATTATGCCAGTATATTTATAAGTCTACAGAAAGAGTGTAACTATTACGATCAATCACACATACTACTACTTTTGATAAATTTTGAAGTTTGAGGTCGAGGTACGTATATTCTCGTAAATTTGAGATTAGGCAACTGATAATATTATTATGACACGATCTAAATTATTTTTGTTTACCAAAAAGTTGAACCTTTTTTCTTGTTACCAAAAAGTTGAACCTATAACACAACATAAACAACTTTTTGCACTAACAGCAAAATTATTATATTATACTCCGAATCAAATTATTATTGAACTGTATATTTTTTTGATAATTTTGTTTTTTTTTTTGAACATATATTTTTTTTATAAATTTTATAAAGCTTTTTAAGAATCTTTAAAAGACTTGTGCGTACAAGAATTTATGTTATAGAACATTTCTTATGGTGTTTCACATACCATAAAAAAATCAACGGAGAGTGTTTTATATTCTATGATTAATGCAAAATTACAGCGAGTAAATTTTGTTGTGGTATTTATAATATTAATATGTGTACCATAATGTTTTTTTGTCAGCACTAATGTTTTGTACAGTGTAGACTCAAGCTAGAGATCTTAACAATGATAAATCTAGAAAAAAAACAAATATGGGACATCACGACAAATGTTTGAACTGGTAAAAATGGTGTTTATATTGTTTATATCAGTATACTGGCATATGCATTCTCAATTTATTTAGAAAAAATATGAGAAATAAAAAGTTGTTAGTTTTTTCTCTCTATCTTGCCTATTTTTTTTTAAAAATTTTAAATTAAATAAATTAGCAAGGAATGCTCGACTATATCCCCATAATTTTTCTTATGTAAACTTTGTATGTTAAGTAAAAATATAGTTTCAAAATTTAAATTCAATAAACACTTATGTAAGATCAATTATAGTTTTAAAGTATATAAATGAGTTTACACTGTAAATAAATAGAAACATAAATTTAAAAAATGAAAAGATGGATAAATACGTAAGTTTAAAGTTTAAACTTATTATACAAATGATTGAAATTTAATAGGTCTATAGTACGGCCTGACGTTGTTAGCTCTCTCCTTGCCAATGGCAACCACCTCATTTCAGTCTATTCAAACACTCTTTCAAAAGAAATGCTCATTTTCACTTTTTATTTATTTATTTGATCTATATATCTCTCTCATGATTCTTGTACATGATTATATTTGCTGAGAAATACATTTAATCTTCCAACAAAAAAAATCTTCTACATGCATGTATGATGTAACGTTAATTAAGTGCATAATTGACGACCAAAAAGATGCTTAAACAGTTTGGGTAATGACACACGCCTACAAGTTAGTAACCGTGTATGGTGATAGGATTGGATCGCTGGTTGTTCAACTCTTTCGGCTTGCAATCAGTGGGTGGGCTATGGAAGGTAGTGGATCGAGATGGAGATCAAACAAAGAGTTATGCCACTCTATTTGCAAGATCTAAAGAATGAGATGAATAGAGAGATAGAAAAGAAGTCGCCACAAGGCTTTATGGATCTAAACCTTGATAAGACAAGAACTCTCAAGCAATGAATCACACAAAGCTTTAGAAAACAAAGGAGTTGGTACTTAGCCAAGAAGTTCGTACTTTATTGATATCTGAAAGAATACACGGCTGTGAGGGGACTTTATAAACAGTCCGAACAGCTTTGCCCTTCTAGGGGACTTGAAACAGATTACAAAATCCTTAGGTTAAACTACTTGGCTAACAATACCTTAAAACGAAAATGTAAATAAAATGTGGCCAACATGCCTTATACTAAAGTTTAAATAAAATAAAACTTAAACCAAGAAACAAAACAGAAAATGTTTGATTAGTAGAACTAAACCATATGGAAATTAAGGATTCGGATCATACCTTGGTTTAGCTCAAATTGACGCGGTTTACTTAGATGTCGTGATGGTGAATAAGGAAACTCCTTTGTTGGCATGAATCAATGGCCAGTCACGTGTATAACCTATGCGTTTGATGTAAGGGTCGTTGATGATGTCTAAACCATCTTCTTGCTCATTGGGAAGGTCTTCTTGCTTGTTGGGAATGCCCTCCTCATCTAGATATGCCCTCACCATTGCTGCTTCCTTGGCGATGCTCAGTTGGCTTAGTTGAGTAGTGACATCCTCTAAGTGCTGGGAAGTGATCAGCGACTCTACTGCTTGGTTGAAGCCATCGGCTAAGTCTTTAGTTCCTGATCTTGTTCTTGGAGCTTGTCTCATGGTAGGAACGTCAGCTTCAGCTCCCAAGTTTGTATCATCCTCTCCCCCTTGGGAAGGTTCTGTCCTCAGAACTGATTCACCTACATCAAACGGTAGCAAGTCAGATACATTGAAAGTATTAGAAATGTTAAACTCACCTGGGAGTTCAATCTGATATGCATTGTCATTGATCTTCTTGAGGACTTTGAACGGGCCATCTCCTCTTGGTAATAGCTTAGACTTCCTCTGAACTGGAAACCTCTCGGTTCTCATGTGCAGCCAAACCCAATCGCCAAGTTCAAAGGTAACTTCTCGGCGTCCCTTATCAGCATTCTTCTTGTAGTGCTCGTTCCTCTTCTCTATGTTCTCCTTGACCTTCTTGAACATAGTCTTCATTAGCTCGGCCTTACTAACTCCATCTTGACTCACTTGTTGCACCGGCGGTAAAGGAGTAAGATCTAAAGGAGCAATGGGTCTAAAACCATAGACAATCTC